AGCAGAAGCCAGGCAACATGAGACGCCTCGTGGATGTGGCACCCCCCGTGGCTGCAACTGGCCTTCAATGGATTTCATTCGCGCACAGTACATGTCCTGTGGCCCAGCAGCAGCACAAGCAAGTAGGAAAAGTCTAGCCGAATGGGCCGAAGCGGCAAATACACTTGCACATCGATCATCTCAGAGGCTGTTTAGATGGGCTGGAGTATCTGTAGAAACGCAGAAAGTTCACTCAGTTATTCCTTTCGAAACTTTATAAGTGGGAAGACTCGACAAGACTTTGCTTCACACCGATTGTATCCAGCGATTGTTGGAATGATAATACCCGGGCCAAGAGTATTACCAGCACAACAGCAAGGATACTGATGAGCCGCAAGCTCAACAGCGACATTGACACTGGTAGTTGTTTCTCTTTCGCTTCGCTTCGCTTCGCATCCGTCCGCCACTGTCTGTCGTAAAACTCTCCCTCCCGGCTCTCTCTCTCTCTCTCTTGTCACTAAATTACAAGTCTTAAATTTTACGCTTCAATAAATCCTGCGACGAAAAAAATGCGCGCCACTCGTTGGCCATTTGTAACAAATTGAATTCAATTAAATAAATTAAAATGCATTCTGCATAAGCGCGACAGTTAAATGGATAAAAAAAATACTGGATTACCAAATTGCTTTCGAATGTCACGAAACAGGATATTTTATTTGCCAGCAGGATCCCCATCAACAGTGTTCATTTGCAACTTTCCGTGAGCCAATTTACAGAATTTACTGAGCCAAGTGCAAAATCAAAGCCAAAGTTGAAACAGGGAAAAGTTAACCAAGTACTGAAGAGGTGGTTGGGGGGTTGTGGGGGGTGCGGTAACTGGGATTTTTAGATAAATAAGAGTGTGCAGGGACTCGAGAGCGCATTAATAAAAGCTGAGCATGGTGAAAACTTTTTCCCACTCAATAGAAAAGTTCCCTGGGAGTCAGCGCTTGATTTTCTTATATATATATTTTTTGTTTTTCTGGTTTGAGGTTTTTGAGCTTCGGTGGATGTGTGGGGCGTGTGGGCGTGGCTGTGGCGTCACCGCCCCCTTGGCCCGACCAACTTGACAAATGACAATTTTCACTAAATAACTGAAGGAACTCGTACAAGGAGAGCGGAAACCAAAAAACTCAACACAAATAACAGGGGAGACCCAAAACAAAAGAGCAGAGTAGTAGAGCAGTGCAGAGCGGAGCGGAGCACTGGGGGGGTATTGGGGTAAAGAATTGCCAAAGAGGCGGCTCCTGCTAAAGTTTCCAACGGGATGATGGAGCAACTACTCCAGCTTTAAGCTCAAACATTATCGCTCATCCAGGCACCCCATCAAGGGCCCATCTTTAAGGAGCTACCGAAAACCAGCAACAAACCACAAGGGAAAACAACACTTTCGGTGAGTTTTGCAGTGCATTCAATTGAGCGGAGAAGTAGCTTGAAAGTCTCAAGAAAGTTTTCAAAATAAGCCCCCCCCCCCAGCCCACAGCCATCTCGATGATCCTCTTATAAGCATGTTTGCTATGGCCTGGCAGGGCTAATTGAAATGCAGGAAAACGGCAAACCGAAGGAAACACTTGCCACTCAACAGCAGCTCCCCTGCCCTCCCCTGCCCGATACTGATCCTGCTAGTACCCATAACGTTCCATGGCCCGCCTATGGCTACCACCCAGCAACATACTAATCAATTTAAAAAGTTTCAGCCGACAGCAAAGTTTTCCAAGTGCTTGTGTGTGTGTGTGTGTGCGATGAGCTCTACTTGTCTACTTTCCAGTTTGCCCCACGACGACTAAATCACGAGCGCTAGTTGCACGCTCTATGTACAGGACTAATGGGAAAACGGAAGCTGCAAAGGAAATTTGGGTTGGCGACACTGTCGGCCAGGAACAATGGCAGCGGGCAAAAATATAGAAGCGGAAAACAACGCAACACAACACAGCACAGCGCACACAGAGCAGTTGTTCGGCATTTCCGTTTCCGCTGGCGGCGCGCACGTCTGCTTACATTTTCCACTCTCCTCCCTTCGCCAATTCTACAAAATGTTGGGCAATGAAAAGTGCATTGCCGGCTCGCTCTGCCATTGTCCTTGCTAACGATGAATCTGTATCTCTGTAATAGAATATTCAAGAGGGTAGGGGGGCATCGGACTGAATACGGATGGGTATATAAATAGGGATAGGGATTGGGTGGCATGGCTAAATAGATAAATTGAAAAACTTGCGCGTTTCAAATGTTTTGCAAAAGCAATTAGTTTGACGCCTCTGGCTTAGCTCTGGCTCCAACTCCACCCCCACTACACTCCTTTTGTCTCGGCTCAGCATCGTATTGCAATTAGCGTAACATAAAGAGCAGCGGAAAAATAATACGAGTAGCAAATGACCGGCGAACGAGCTGGCTAACCATCCACGAAGACACCAAACCAACCCAAACCGAACCAGTTAACTGAAAACGTTGAATTATGAGCCATGACCACGGGGAACTGCTGCCCCGCGTAGGCCGCTGTTGATGCTGTCCGCCAGCGTTGGCTTTTCGCCATTTTCCGGCCCGTACCCAATTCCAATACCAATACCAGACCTGGTCGGCCCCTTGCTGCCTGCCCCCCTTCTCTTTCCCTCGGCTGGCTGTGCCGCCTTGGGGGCTCCCAAAACGCATTAATACCAAAATCAATCGGACCAAATTTCGTAAAATAAAACGAGCATTTGTTCGCTTTGCTGCTGTGCTGCTGGACTGTGTGACACCGTAGAATATATCATTGATTTTAACGCTATAGTAATTCATATCTGATGATTGAAATTAAGTGTTTAATTTCGTACAAAGATTCATTAGAAATTTCAAAAGAGACGTGATGAAATATATAGTGGCACTAGCATGCTGCCACTCATACCCATTATTCGGAGAATAGCACCCCGTCGAGTGGTTGTCCAGGGTGCGAGAACACTAGCAGCGGGGCAGCCATACCCAGATGTGCCACATGTCCGCTGGCTATGGCACAGAATTCCACGAAAATCACAGCCATGCCAATTTTCACTGGCCAAAAGAAAAGCCATTCGATGAGGTTTGTATTGGGCTCTAATTGAAGTTTGTTTGAATGTGTGACCGGGTGGCTATGGATGGCTATGGGTGCTATGGGTGGATTGGCCAGCTTGTTCCTGTGGCACATTCAATTAATTACATTTACACGGGACTCACTCTCACTCTCTCTCTCTTAGCTGTCGTTTTCTGTCTGGTGAATTGATGTTTTGAGTGTTAATTAAAAAGTGAATGTTAAATAGGTTCCCTCATCAATGGGCTGACATTTGTGGCTTTCAATGCGCTTCGATGGAGACACAAACACATTTTAAGACAGGCAAAAAAAACAATTCGATAAAGCCTCAGCTTTCGGCACTCGTAAAGAATTCTCACATCGAAACGAACATAAAACACTCAAAGCAATTTAAGAGGCTGTCACATCAGCTCCTCGCCTTTTGGATTATCCTGGCTAATGGCAATCGAATGTGGCTCAAAGCAAGTACTCGAAGCCTCTCCCTACCTCTTCTTTGGCTTACCCTTGTCTTCGTCTCTCTAATTACCAGCAAGTGCTGGGGCTGGGGCTGGTGCTGGTGCTGCTGCTGCTGCTGCTGCTGCTGCTGGTGGGGGAGTTGCACTTGAGTGGCTTATGGCAAGGCCAAAGGATAACTAATATCCCATAGAATCTTAAGCACCAGCTTAAACTTTGCAAAGCAATGGGATGCCATAAGGGGGGAGAGAGAGAGGCGAGACTTAGACTTCCAGTAAGTAAGACCAGGCCAATTTTAATACGAGTGCTTGTAGCCATTTTGTGTGGCCCTTGGTCAAGTAAGATTCTGCTCATTTATTTACGAGATAAACTTTTGATTTGTTGGACGAACTAGGGGAGGGGTAGAAAGGCGACGGGGAGCCCCATGGAAATTCTGGCCAAGCTGCAAAATTTTATTACCCAAATACTATTTGGGTAAGCCGGAAGACGTTTCTCTGGCTCTAATAAAATAAATTTAATATGCGATTCTTGCCTGTGGCTTTTGGGGGTAATTCTCGCTTATTATTGCCGGCCGCAGCCCATCCTACTACCACTACCTCCACAACTTCCGCCACACGAAAACTGTAACGCTCCAGTTAACAAACTTATGGCATAATAAAAAACTTTTTAAATAAATTCGCGAGAGATGCTTTATGGTCAGTTTGTAATAAATAAAGATTCCGCTTTAAAAAAAGAGGAAAAACAAAAATTCAGGCTGTTATGCAGGATTTTTTTTTACTGTGCTAAATTTTATTTTGTACAGCAATCAAGAAGCGCGGAAAAATCGAAAAAGAAATCAAGGGGAAACACTCCATACATGGCCACAAAATCCACAGATATAACACGCGCGTAAACTTTATGGCAGCACTGTTTATTAAACTACAACCGAAATAGCATGTACCAAAGGTTATCAACATGTTCCCCTTATCAATGAAAGCGAAATCGTCAGATACCCGTAGCGAAGGTAAAGCGAAGCTTTGCCCGCAGTTTATCGAGGGGATTTATACTTTGATCCATCTAAAAAAAAACAACATTGATAAAGCTTATCAGAGCCATCAACAAACAAACAGTAGCTAAGGTGATGAGGTGCCGTGGCCGGGGGGCGGAGCAAAAGGTGTCTGCACACGATATAGTATAATTAATATGCAATAATGACATATGGCGTATGCCAAGCACACCCACTCGATACACATGACAAGCCAGCCACCCACAAATGACTTTGTTCAACAGCCAAGTACAGTGAAAGCATTCCAAATGGACAGCTCTTGAAGATAATCGAATTTTGTAGCTCTCTCTCTCTATCTCTGGTGAGCCTGGCTTCCCGGTACCTCTCTTGTCACTTAAGTGTAAACTTTTTCGTTTCTCACCCAAAAGAGTTTTCACTGTAGCTGAAATCCCATAGACACGCAACGTATCCCATCAAGATAATCGATACAATAATGAGGCAGGCTGGTTGTTCAATTTGTGCTTTATTATTGGAGAATACACTTTCAATTTAAGGCGCTAGAGAAAAACTGTCTCAACATCGAGATATATATATGTACACTATATAGACGTAATCATGTAATATTGTCACCGGAATTGCCGACATTTAAATGCCCTACATTGGTTTAACCTTAACATTATATACACGCACATGCATTCGCACGCACACACATTCATCGATCGGGATAATCGTTCGTTACTGGGGATATTGCCCGTATGCCCTCATTTCTGGGTTGCTTGATAGTTTTGGAATCCGTTCACCGACCAGATGCCAGCTGGGCGGCTGCTCATCTGGACAATATTTCAGCTTTAACAAAGTTTAACAAGCAACACTACAATCCAGAGCTTGTGTCCGCACCCAGAATGTATTTGTTGTAGCCCTGGTTCATTTGCTCCAACAGAATGAAGGTGAGGACCGTGTGCGGTCCCAGGCGGCAGTAGTAGGGTGTGAAGCCCTTCCACAAGGCAAAGACACCCTCTTGGCGAGCCACACGGAGCAGGACGTCGGTAGTGCCGCGGTACTCCGGTTTGCCATCGACAGTCTTCATGTTCTGAATACGCGTCTTGGCAATATCCAGCGGCATGGATGTCATGGTGGTCAACAGACCGCTCAGCATGCTGGCGCAGAAATGTAACTTGATGCCCTGTTCCATCTGCAGCGGTCCCTCGTGGAAGTACGTCTTGAACTGCGAGTAACTGGCCAGCTGGGTCATGTTCACGACCATGGCCCTGCCCACAGTTGGCAGACTGCCACGCCAGAGCGCCGCCAGACCCTCCTCGCGAGTAATCCTCGTCAGCGCATTGGCCACATTCGTGTAGTTGCGTCGCTCCGCAATCGGCAGGCGTCCGTCGGAGGTCATACGCACCAGAGCCACCTCGGCCGGGGTGCCGATGAAGGCGCCGCAAGCTCCAGCAATGGTACCCATGGCCATGCTGTCCACCACATTGGGGTTCCTGTCGAAGCGATCCTTGTACAGGTCGTTCAGATAGGTGTACATGCCCAGACGCCCGGTGGTGTAGGTGGCCTGACGCAACAAAGCAGCACCAATGCCCTTGTACAGACTCAGGGGTCCTTCCCGGCTGACTATCTGCTGGATGCAGTGGAAAGAGTTGCGGTACTCCTTCTTGCCGCTACCGGCCCCAGATATCTGCATGCGTGTCTTCACCTGGAACGCACAGAGAGAGGGACTGGCATTATAACCTCTTCAGGGCTGAACTTTGGCATTTGCTATCCACAAATCAATTGATTCGGCGGTACTCACCAAATCCAGGGGCTGGACAACCATGGTGGCGCCCATGCCGGAGAGACCTCCGAACAGAAATTTGATGGCATTGGGGGCGCTCTTCGCTTTGGCTAACACCTCCTGGGCTTTTGCGGCGTCGTTGCTGGCGTCGTTGCTCATATTTGCTGTTTTTTTTTTCGCTGTTGCTGCCGGGCGATTACACAACACAAAATGTTTTGATTAAATGCAGTGCTGGGGCTGGGGCTCTGGCTGTGTCTGGGGCTCGCAGTTCTCTGTCGATTCCAATTTCCAGTTGTGGCTGCTCTCGTTAGTTGTAGTTGCCCTCGCTGCTGTTGTTGCACTGAGAACCCTGCTGGGAATGTTGTCGAACACGCGCTGCGTACTGCTGCCCGGTGGCACAATTAATAATAAATTTTCCTTACGCACAGAGAACAGCTGATACGGGTGCTATAGGTATTGGTGCTGCTGCTGGCTGTGGCCACCAACGCTTCCTCGTTTTATTTTTGCTTTCTCTCTATCACTTGGCACTTGGCAGAGAAACCGCGAATGTGATTCAATGTCAATGCACGTCACACACAACGTCCGTCTCTCTCCAAATTGTCGGAGACAGCCTGTTGCTTCACTGAGGCGTCACTTTTCGGGCACTTGCACGTGTTTCGGGTCTGGGGTTTGAGGCCACAATTGCAATTTATCTGTTTGGTTTATAAATATTTCTGCATTTAAACCGAAATAAAATGCAGTGGGAACAGAAATACATCTGATGACGAAAGTAGGTTGTGTTGTTGTTTCTGGCCAGCTGATGACGTGTGCAGAGCGGCGGCGCGGGAGAGCGCAAGGGTTGCCAGCCATGCGACCATACAATATATAAATACTAAATTTAACAAAATAGCTTGTATCTTAAAAATTAATATCAAATATTGCGTTGCCTAATTAAATAATACTAACTTGATTTGGAATCGAACCTATTTTGAAGTGGAATTTGGCTCATATTGAAGCAATTGTAAAAGCGTAGGTGGCTCCCTGGTAGTGCCTGGCAACTCTACCTGCTCTCTCAGAGAGTCTCGTCGGTGTTGTTAAACGCAAAACAGCTGGGTACGTTAAAGAGAAGAGCGCACAATACCATCTCCCTCCCCGACAGCACAATTCCGTTTGTTTACAGTAATTGTTGGCCCACTCACAGTTATAATTGCTATATCTTTGTTCTTTTTGTTTTTGCAGGGAACAATTTACAGCCGATACGTAGTACATCCAACTGTACGCAGATCGTGTGCATATGTTTTCTTTATCAAATTTGTTGTCTTATCGTGGAATTGCAAAAATGTTTGCTGCGTTTTTATCGTAATTGCGCTAATCAGACTATAAATATGCGCTGATTGGATAATTTGATGTTTCTGATTTGTTGAGACGCTAATGGAATTCGCAGTTCTCCCATAAACAGCTCCGTATAGCGAATTTGGTATAATAAGTAACACCCAAGGTCATGGATTTTCATCTGGGGAAAAGTATACTTGAGTTCCCCCTATTTAAACCGCAGTTAAAGCTGTTTTCTGTAGTTTATTGTCCTGAAAATTGGTTGGATAATTATGACGAGGCCCGGCAAGGACAGAGCACCGTTAAGGCATTCCATTGATAATAATTTACTTGAATTGACAGATAATAAATGTCGTACAACATAAGTATTATCATTAAATCGCTCTCAAACATACAGACAGACACACAGATCTCCGAGCGGCATTCAGTCAGGCAGGCAGGCAGGATTCATCGAAGCCGCCGCATCCATTCGAGCGCATTACGCGCATTCGCTCCACTCTTCACTTGGTCCCTGGTCCTGGTCTCGGCCTCAGTTTGGGCTGTGGGTCCTGGGCGTGGGTTCCCGTCTTCATTCAATCAGAGGAGACTCAACAGATTGCCTGTCGTTTGCCTGCCATTGGAGCTGAAGCAATTCCAATTCAATTTTAGCAGCAATGACGACGACAACTCTGGCTCCAAGAGGGATTTTCGCATTTTGTTAAAAAAAAAAATGAAATGAGGACAACGTGCCGAGCAGGAGGTGGAGGGAGTGCTCTGGGTGGTCTGTGGTGCAGCGCTGTAGTGGGATGAAGGACGAGCGAGCACATTGTAAGCAATCAGTGGAAAGGCAGCCATCGCATCGCGTAGCAGGGCGGAGAAAAGTAAAATCTCGAGCTGTCAAGAGGGGCTATAGATAAAAAAACTACAGCCCATACACGGCACTACATACTCGTGCAAGATACGGCCGAAACGGAACGGTATACGGTACGGTACGGGCCACGGTTAATATGCTCGTGGAGTGGAGCCACAGCCACCCACACACTCCCACACACACACATACATACATACACAAGCAACCGGTGTGAAGGACATTGTAAGTGAAATTGAACGCTTGGACGTACGTTAACCAAAGCCAGAAAAGAATGCTGGGAATGCTGGGCATATAAGCTATGTGGTTTCGGTTGGGACATCCAATGGCAGGGCAGAACCTAGCAGAAATCGTAAAAAACTCTTTTCACATCTTAGTTTTCTTCGTGGATAGAACAAGGTAATTTCCTTCGTATTTACTGCCATATTTTTACTGCCAAATCAAACCTATAAAGATATTCGACAAAATGTAAATGCACACATGAAAATTCTGGGTATTCAGCTATCTCAGATTTCCAACTGTCAGCCGCACTGTCAGAGCATCTTTGAGTGGTGCACATCATCGAGTGCATCCAATCTGATGGGTTCCTCGATGGCGTCTTCCCCCACGGATCATTTGGTCGACGGAGCCGACTGAACCTGGCTGGCCCCATCGTTCATGTGACGTTAGCCGGCCAATCAATAAAATTTCACGCTGCTGTAATCAAAGCATGTGACATTAGCGTAAAGTTGAATGAATACCAGTTTGAGTTTCAGTTTGCCTGCCAGCAGCCATGCTCGGGGCAGACACGGGCCAGCAGCAGGAGCCGGAGCAGGAGCAGGAGTAGGAGCTGTAGCTGTAGCTGTAGCTGACTGGGGACTGAACTGAAGCCTGGGTTAGGCTTTTGTGTGAAATGCTAAAATGATAAGGTCGCTCGTTATAGACTGTGCGGCGATACCTCCCTGCGAGCCCTCGCCCGACTGAGCAGGCACTGCCATACAAAGCCGAGCAGAATCAACAGTTTGTCGTCGAGTCGCCCCCGTCACATGCTAATTTTAACAGAGTGCCATAGAGTGCCAGGGAAACGATGGAACGATGGGGTCGGTGGGGGGTTGGTACTGGCTGGCGGGCATGAAGGTTGTGGATAAGGCCCACAAAAGCGCTGCCAGCGAAGTTCACCTGCAAGTTGCTGGGGAAATTTATTTTCGTGCAGCGCGTTTAGTGATGCGTTAGAGTTTCCACAGCGCAGGGCGTGCCGGGGGCCCGATGGGTTGGGTAAGCCGAGCGACGGTTTTTGGCAACGGCAAAGTTGGAGTTCAAATCGAGTGGAAGATTTCAATGCGTTGGCAAACGAAAATAAGTTGCCACTTCCCTTCCCTCCCGTCCACGGCCACGTCCACGTGCTCTATCCTGCCTGGGCTTCCTGGCTCCCTGTCTAGTGCAGCGACCAGGCCAACATTTATTCTTGGCTCTGGCAACAATAAACAAAAATCCTTGAAGTTCAGACAAAGGTCGCCCTCCTTAGAAGGTATTCAGCGATTTGTGGCACTGCCAAATGGCCATAGGATCCGCCTCTGGTCGCCGGCAGTCCAAATGGCGTGTGCTGGTAAACCGGCAGGAAATGAGGTTACGATTGGAAACCGCCAAGAAGTGCACCATGACTCAGAGTCAGGGTCCCCCTACACTTGGCCCGAAACTGAACGTGGAGACTCGTTTGGACAGCCTTAAATGATGGCCGAGCCAGCGCCAGCGTTAGGGTTGAGTTGCTCCCAACACTTTACGCCCTGAGAGCAGTAAGTGATTCACCCATTTGCATCTCCCAGAGACAAAGTGCAACAGAATTTCTATAAATATTTCATGCACATTTCCGTGACATGTGGAGTCTCTCAATCCCCATTGTAAAAATTTCTTTGTAACTTTTCCTGTTTGTCCGGGATTTTCCTGCTGAGTGTCGCTTAAATTAGAACAGCATTCAGTGATCCCCCCGAACCCCATTCAGTAATGAAATCAGCTTTGGGGATTCATGTGGGGAGGGGGATGAAGCCGGAAAAAGAAATGGCTGTCCTCGAATGGAAAGTTGAAATTGCTTTGCCCAGAGGGAAGCATGGGGAACATGGGGCTAAGTGGTGAGCTGTGTGTGGCTGTAGCTGTGTCCTTTGGCTATTTGCAATATGCAAAATGCGACAAAATAGTTGGGGAGGCAATGGGCTATGCCGCGCCACACCAGCCACGCCCAACCACTTGCCACTTTCCACTTGCCACTTTCCACTGGCTTGACTGCGTAAATAAACATTTAACTTTCTATTAGAATTTGCATGGCAATGGGGGGGGGGGCCAAAATGAGAGGAGAAGCAGTCGCGTAGAGAGCTCGACAGGATTACCACGGCCGCAGCCAATTTAAAGCGGACTCCGAAGGGGAGCGCCACAACCAAATCTGATTGTGGACTAAACATGCTAATGGCATTATAATTATCCCCAGGGAGCCAGCGCCAGCACACACCTGCCCATTGCAGGAGCGGAAGGAGGAGCCAAACTCCTCCACTCTCTGGCGGCGCTCGCGAATGCAAATTACAAAGTTTTTCCAGTGAAAAAACTTCATTTGGCCCCACTTAAAGCAGCTGCACGAGTGGTGCTGCCACCGCAGACGCGGACGCGGCCGCGGCCGCGGCTAAATTGCATTGTGGTTGGGATCCCAGCGCTGGGACATGAACAGGGACAAGGATCGGCGACTGTCCAAGCTCTTTCACATTAGCGTATAATCAACATTAATGGGGCTGACAATGCGCTTCCAAAGACTCACGCACACGCACCCGCGGCCGCAGCCCTCCATTGGATGCCATTAGATTCTAAAGGCTGCCCTGGGTCGGTCCATTGTGCTGGCTGCCCAACGGAGCGAGCGTCCAGCACGGGGATTATATTCGCATCAGCTCAATGAAAAATTGTATTCGTGTTGTGCATTGTTATAAGCTGAGGAGTTGAGAGCAGCCACCCCACCCCCTTGTGTGGCATTGAAATTAGTTTGCATTATTGAAAAAAAACGTAACTGCTGACAGTTAATTGTGTCTCAGAGTCCTCGGATCCATGCTCCACATTCTCCACATATTAAAGGTTCGCTTCTCTCAACGCATGGCCTGAGCCCTTGTTACCTTTTTAGTGTCTGGCATAAGCGTGCCAGGAAATATGTTCATGCGCCCCATTGTCCACATTACGTATACGACATAGCCACTCACTGGCTGGCAGCCTTTCAGAGCCACCGCCCGCTGATTAAGTAGGAAAATTTATGGCTCCTACTCGTACATAGATGCTCCTGCATTGGACTCCTTTTGGTTTTATTCTGCGCCGTTTTGTTGCCTGCGTGTCAACCTTTTTGGTCATATAAATTAAAAGCAGCTCAGAGTCGGCCTCAAACAACTAAGCCACTTTGCCCAAATGTCTGTGGCTGTGCCACTAAAGTCTGATTCGGCTACAGCCACCGCCAAGGCTTTAGCATCATTGTCAGCCCCAGTTTCAGATAAAAACTTGAAATCTGCTGCGGGTGCAACTTTGCTCTATAAATGCGGTTGGGCAAAACCCAAAACCACTTTCGACTGCTCGAAACCGAAACACTTTTACTTTGCCATTCGCCACTCGTCCCATTCGTCCCACTCTGTTCA